GAACTTCAGAAGCTCATAAAAAAATTATAGTTCAACATTTTTATTAATTTACACTTACAAAAACTTACAAGGAAGCTTGTATTATATTTTCAAGTTTTTTGACTTATCAAAAATTTTTTTATCAACATCAAACAAAAAATTAATACAAATCGAAAATTTCATATACCGATAAATAGTTTAACATGAGTCAAAATATTTTTAAATGGTATGGTATGGTGTATAGAAAATGCTATTATTAACATTCTGTACAAATAAGAATTACACCAAAAAATAAAATTGATTTGCACGAAAACTGGTATTGCTTAAAAATCTTAAATTAATTAAATTCTTTAATTTTTTAGCACTTAAACTGTAATAATACAACGCTTTCAGCACTTTAATGATAATTTCAAAATCGGCAGTTAACAAAAGCCACAAGTTAAAACCAAATAGTATAGGAAGGTATGGACACCACTCACTACTCTGAGTTGTGCCCGTGTAGTCGATGATATATCGTATTACTCTGTAGTTATTTGTTTTAATATTAGACAAATATCAAAAACAAGTTTAATGAAATATTATTTCATAAAATATGATCAATTTTGGTTAACAAATGGGTAAAAATACAAAAATATCTCAAAAAGTCCAGAAATAACACTAAAATCTTAAACTCAAAATACACAAAAGTACTCAAAATAAAATTTTTAATTTTAGTTCTCTGAATCGTGAAACAAATGTTAAACTTACTCTACTAACTCTTATGCATTTTATAAGTAATATGCAAATAATAAAATGATATTTTGAGTTTTACAGCTCTGAAAACTTAAAGGGTTCTATACGAGTCTATGATATAATAATATATTAACATAATTTTAGATGTATCATATGAAAAAACTACACTGACCTACGGTTCAGTTATTTTTAAAAAAAACAAGCATTTGCATAGGTCATTGTTAGTATAATTTTAGATTTTAAGCAGAGTGAGTAAAATAAAATGTTATTTAAAAAAAAATTGTGCGTATTACTGTACACGGTTTAATTATAGTAGAAAATGTATTTTGATCATTTTGAGCTTAACCTTTTCTGATTTAAAATTGGATTTTATAGGTATTTTTTCAAAATTGAAAATTCCTAGTAGCTATATGATATAGCTACTAGGAATTTTCAATTTTAGCCTATATCTACTTATTATAATAATCGAAAAACCGAGGAAGTTATTATGCTATATAATATAGTATTTTTTATCAGTCATTAGTATTAAATACTTATGAGAGACCTTGTATTCAAAGTTCAAACATTAAATATAAAAATTTAAAAATTAATTAATTTTTAACCACAAAATAATTTAATGCATTTTTTTAAAATTTGAAATTAAAATGCCTATAAAAAAACTCATGTTTAACTACTATTATAAGAACTTATGAGTAAGCATATACAATTTCAAGTTTTCTGGTTTGGCAAAATGTTGTTCATTAAAATATTCTATAAGAAAAAAAACAAAAAAAAAATTGCACTAAATAACTTACGAGTCAAACATTTTAAGTATCTAAAAAAAAATATTTATATTATTAGTTTTTTAACTACCACAAAATAAAAAAATGGCTCTTTGAGAAATCGGGTAAATATTCAACTTAAAAATATACATTTTTAATACTTGTTAAAATTAATTTGACTTTAAGGTAGATTTTGTTTTGTTTAAGGTAGGACAACTTATGAAGAATCTAATTTAAGTATTAAGAAATAAACATAAAAAATGTTGTACAATACGTGTGCGTGTCTGTAGATGATATAAAAAAAATTAAAAATATTCATTCTAGAACTAAAGTTGTTTCATTTTTCAGGGATTTTCGTTACACCTTGTATATATATATACCGAGATAACCTCTGAATATAATATACTGGAGTTAGAGGCATGTATAAATTGGAATATAGACTTGAAGCGTATTATTGTTAGACCTTCCAGTAGCCCTGGTCGAAAATAAAATATTCCAAACATCGTAATCGTAAAAAGATACCTACTAATTAAGATACTACAACAATAAATGGTCACAAACGACAGATAAATCTTCATCTACTAATTGATATCCTCATTGATTTTTAGGTATATTCAAAGGTCTTAGCATACTTGAAATTAATACTTATACTTATATTAGTACACATAATGACATTTTCAAATGCAATTTTTTCGACAAAAATGAATTTAATCTACTATATTGGACATCAATACTATAATGAATATTATACTATAGTATAAAAATTTAATTTAATCACAAGAACATCATAAAATACACCTACTTAATAATATTATAAACGGCAGACCAACTTCACTAGTTTCACTTTCACACTGCACATTTTTCGTATATAATTATTTTATTATTATTAATTTAAAATTTAACACAATATAAATTACAGTGATTTTCTGGACACTTTAAGTCTATCAGATCATTAGGCAGGCAAACCCACTTACCCACTTTTTTTTCGTATCTGTATGTATATGATAATTAGTTGAAATAATGCTTCAATTTTCAACTTCAGTGACTTTTTTTATGGGAAAACAAATCTAGTGGTGTGTCTCGAGAGGTCAAAATTGAACACTTTCAAGAATTTTATATTGAAAAGCGTCGGTAAAAATTCAGAAAAAAAGGGACCTTTACTTAAAATCAATTTTCATCAAAATGATTTTGGTTTTTGGAGTTACTCTAAAAAAATGACCTAAGATATTTCAAATTTTTACTGAAAGTATTTATAAACATTTTAAAAATATGATATTTTATAACTACATAAGATATGAACAGTTTATTAATAACTTTGAAACTTATATTTTTCAACAAAATTGATAAAAAATATAAGGCTATAAACGATAAACATAATTGATATATTACTTATGTTTGGTTTTAAGTTATTTTATTATCTATGTTAAATTAACTAAAATATTTATTTTTTTAATATTTTAGTTAGTTAAATTATCAATTATTTATAACTTATTTATAATTTTTTTATGCTCATAATTACTATACCTAAGTGGTTGTAGAAAATTTAAATTTAGTTGACTAAACAAACTGGATTTTAAAAACTATATAACAAAATATCATATATTTAGAATTTATAATTTAAAAAAATTGTACATTATATATATTAACTTATTTCCATGGCTAAATACACTGACAATGCGTACAATGGTCAAAGACTAAATATTATTAATTGTTATGATTAGATTAATAAAAAAATAACATGGAATAATTGGGTAAATCACACGATTCAGGGAAGTGCGATTTTTTAGGGCCTTTGCACGGTATAGCCCCTCCAGAGTCCGACCCATTTTACATGTCCATAAGAAATATAAGGTTTATTTGAACGAATACCTAATTTAAAAGGTACAGTAGGTAGTATATGTAAAGTATTATGTTATGTCTTGACCACTGTTTGTATTCAGTAAAAGCTGAAAAACATAATTTTATTCTGGCTTCTACTAAACTGCTCATCATAAAATGAACAAATTGAGTTAAAAAATAAACACCAGACAAGAAAAAATTACATTATAAAAAAAATTATAATTAAATATTATTAAAACAAATTACTGATAGTTATAAGTTTTTAAACGACGATTTCCTGATCAGCTTCGATCGACTATTGAGCTGTGAAGTAATCAACTTTTACCAACTAATAATTATTATTCTGTTTTCAAAAACAATTTTTTTTGTATAAAAATTTAAAAATTCATCAGTAGTTTATTTCAATAACATAAATGTAATTGTAATTTCCCATGTCACGCCTAACCGAAAGTTTAGTTTTCAACGAAAGTTGAAGCGTTGGAAAGAGACCATTTTCCGTTTATCTGGTGGTAAAGTAGGAATCCTCAAAGTATCTCCTGTACGACGAGATATTGAAATCTATACCACGGTCCACGGTCTTTACAAAACGTACATTATTTGGTTTCAACTTATATTCTAATCGTACTAATCACTATTTTAACACTAGTTTACAGTTGTAAATTCTGTAGCAGTTGATAATATGAGAACACGAATAAAAGATTTGAACTTGTTTAATTGTGAGCCGGTTAATTTTCTTCGCATCGAATAAGAGCATGTATTTTTCTTTTTTCATTAGGTACCTTTTTTGCTTTTTTTTAAAAATTTTACACGTATATTAATTGTAGGTATATTTATTAAAGCTTATAAAATATAAGACATAACGTAGAGTAACCCACCTACAGCTAAATAGCTGTGTAGGAAAACAGTTAAAACAGCGCTTTATTTGCTATTAATTATACTGACAAAAATGTGATTTAATGTTAAGTACTATTATAATATTTTAAGTAGGTAATAATATACGACGTCGTGAACATATTCATGGACTCAAGTTCACAGTTATGTACTAATGCATTTAGATATTAGTAATTTATACCTAACACATTTTTATTATTTAGAAAAAGGCAGAAGGCACATGCGGTCGAGGTCCGAGGGCCTACAGTGTGTTTGCACACGTCTACACAAAGACAGTAAGGCATATACACCAGTCAGTAATCGGTAAAAAAAGTCCGAAAACATAAAATATAACCACATATGTATACATACAATATATACACATAATTCATATTAATTTAAAAGATGTTATTAATTTTAATATTCTAATAATTAGCTATATTTATATTATATATTTTATTTTATTATATTGATAATATTTTGTTGGATTTCGCCATTGACTAAGTACTTACAGCAATTAAATTTAATACATACATTTATTTAAACGTTTAAAACTATAGGACTTCTATTACATTACTATGTTATTTAATAACTTTAAAAAAGGTAGCTTTACAAATATTATAGTTCCAATTACAGATTTTAAAAAATAGAAACATCGGTCACTACAGTAATAATAATATATATATAATATAATAATAGATGAAAATTTAATAGAATATTTTGTATTTTTGGACCTTCGTCCAACTTTTTTCAAAATGGATTTTTTATACCCGGACTTTTTGTCCAGGATTCACGACAGTTCTACTTCGCCTTCGAGGTTAATAAGGTACCTACGCCTAACTGTTAAGTAAGATATTATAGAACAATAATTAACAACCAAAACGGATAATTTATTTAAATCATACACTATTTTAATCGTGTGTTACATGATATAGGTATCGTATTATCGTACCATATTAGAAAGAAAATTAATATAGGCTTCATGTAATAGGCACTGATGATACATAATACAAAATACACGTAATATTATTATAACAACAAATTGTTTTCAGAGTCGTCGAGAGCGTCGATGACAAACGCTGGCAGTGCGAACGCTGCTTTGTGAATGTCGGTAGTGTAGTAACGAAGCTTCATATCCTTTCGCTGTTGGTTAGTCAACTTTTGTACTGGATTTGAAAAGTCAGTATTCTGCAAGATAAAAAAATCAAATGAAACAAAATATAATAGCATACATCTATTGTACAAAAAACATTAGATAAAAATAGTAAAGGGGCGGAGTGGGCCACCGGGCACTTGGAACATTGCTTGGTGGCCTGGATTATTTATATAGAATGTAGCCCTTTGACAGTCATTTTATAATTCGATAATTTCGTGGTGAATTAAATTTGTTGACTTAAATTATGTTTTGAGTCTAAATTAGTATGATAAAGGGATAATCGTATATCGTTTTCTACCCTTAAATATCCAAAAAATAGATCGAGAAATTTAATGATTGACGCACTAAAAATAGTATAGAATTGTTTATGATTATAGAAAAATCTTTTTTTGTGGAATTAGATACTGATAAAACAATTAACAAACTTCGTACCTATGTACTAAAAGTAATATTTTAAGTAAATTGTTATCATAATTATTTTAATTATTATTATTTATTAAACGTTTATGTAATGAACTATTTCTTAAAAACATGCTAAAACTGTATTTGTTATTTGTTTAAAAAAAAAAAATAATAATATTAATAATCACTAATAAATTGGTAGATTGTTCCAAGTTAAATGAAATCAAATTAATAATTTTTAGATAAGAAGTAAAAAAAACTATATTCTACTAAAAAATAGGAAATTGTTACAGCTTAAAGTAAAGGTCATATGAAAAGTGGTCCTGAAAATATTAGTTTGCGTGGTAAGAATTTTGGAGCCTCTGAGTTGGATTAAGTAGAGTATGTAGGCAGGTATCAAAATTGAAATGCCTACATGTAAAACAGGTGCAGATAAGAAACTTAATTTAACCAGCAGTCATTATGCAATTGAGCTGGCTCTCAAAAAATATATTGTTTAACTTTTAACTTTTTCTTACTAACACATAATGATAAGTTATTATGGTGGGATGAGAGTATCATGTTTAAACAAGTAATATTTATCATATTTTCATATGGTATGTACATTTGGGCTATGTCTATGTGTGATGGTAAATTAACATTGTTGTGTATTTCTGAGAATCGCTGTCTCACCGCGTCGGATTAAGCTCTCCCAGGTGCACGCACATGGCAATATAGGTACATCTCGAAAAATGAAATATATTCTTGTTTGCATAACTATAAAACTATAAAAAGCGCTAGTAGATTAGACATATATTCTGAGGTTAGACTGTAACTTCGAAAAAATATGGAATTTATATACTTCCAAACAATGTTTTTTTAGGAATCACTTTTTCAATTTAAAATCAGTTGTGCCCAAAATTATTATAATGCATTATATGTATTATCTATATTAAGTATACGAAATAGTAAATAAATAATAATTATTAAAATTATTATTGAATTGCCTATACATTAAAAAGTTCTCGATTTTTCAAAATGTATTTTATATTTATGATAATGACTTAACACTTTTGAGAATTTTCATATTGTATTGTACAATAAACAAAACATAAAACATTACCCAATAATAATAAACATTTTCTACTTTAAAATATCCCTAGTGGAATTTATAGTAGTTAAACCCACAGAAAATTTACCTATATTTCATTTGTCTCAAACACAAAAAAGACTGCTTCAAAATTAATAGAATGACAGAAGATATAATAAATTATTTTGAAAAAAAAATTGGTGTTATTGTTAAAGCAACTGATGTTGTAAAGCTGATGGCACCAGGAATTATTTTTGTTAAAAAAATCTTAATATTTTGTTTTTGATTATGCCATATTTTTCAACTCAGCATCAGTATGGTTACGAACTCGTTGGGTATAAAATACATATTTTCATCTTGTTAGTACACACACAATCAAATGATGTTATTTTATTATTATTAATAATTTAATATTACTAATATATAAATTTTATTTTATGCACATACCTATTACAGCAACGTTTTATTATAAAAATGTTAAGCAATACATCTTTCTATATCACTTAAACAATTTTAAAAAATGTATCTTGCCCGTTAATAGATTGGTATCTGTACGGCTGTACGGTGTCAACAGTCTACATACTAGGTAATATAGATTATTGTCTTGTTAGGACTTAGGTCACATACTAAACGCGGTAATACAGGTTGGTTCAGTAGTGTAGACAGAAATTTTTATAGGAGGGACATATATTCAGTATTTCCAAAATAAATCTGAGGGTATTGCCAGTGGCGTAATTAGGAATTTGTCTTAGGGGGGATAAACATTTTTTACACACAAAATACTTAGATTTTCAAGTACAGTGGTGAATGGTATCTGAGAATCCTGAATCTTATTTAATCAAAAATCCTTTAACTAATATATAGGTACACAAAATGTATTAATAAATGTTGCTTTAAAATTCTACATATTTTAGCACCTATACAACATTATAATAAATTCTTCAAAATGTAAATATTGAATGAACTGAAATTAGATTTTACTTATAAGTTATAAATTTAATAATAATTATTAAAATATTAAATGTATTTTGTTTGGAATATAATATAATATGCATAGCAATTTCCTGTAAAATTTATAATTGTTAGGTGCCTTGTACCTATAGTCTGCTATGGACTGGCGTCCCGCGTCATGCCTTAAAGGTACTTCCGCGGTAACTAGTCGTATAGATCAGGTTATACACAATATATATGAGGGATGCTACGCATTTAAAGAAAATAAGCAATTATCGATTATTATATTTTAACCGAGTCTATTCTTGGAAATACTGTAATAATACTAAGTCACGCTTATTATTAATAATTCATTGGTGAATAGTAATCTCGAATACCATATAAAGGTCCCCCCCCCATACACTGCAGCGGTGGCGGTAAAATTCTTTTGTCTTGGCGGTGCAGTGTGTGGGGACCTTATCGGCTAGGAGTAGTAGAAGGTAGGCCTATATAGGAGACCCCCGAACAGCCCATATTCAGATTTGATTTGACCAGACGAGCCGGAGCACCTTCATGCTAGTCAGTCTTTTGATTGTATTATTTTGGACTTAGAATAATTTCGAACAGTTAATTATTTGGACCTAGAAAATATTCGATTCAACTCGATATTTTTCTGAACACTCTGAATAGATAAAAAAAAGATAGAATTGTATTTTTTCTTTTTTTATCCATAATTTTATAAAAATTTCAGTAGTTATAGAAAAATAAATAATTTTAAATTTAGTAAAAATATAATAAAAGCATTAATGATGTAATAACCGTCTAGCACTGCGTGTACAATTGTACAAATGATATTTTATATTACATCAATGGTCAACCTCAACAATAATAACTACATAAAATGATGAGTGTTTCGGCGTATTAGCTGCAGCTCGCCAGTCGTTGTTTCTTATTATCTGTATTTTCCATGTGCATACCTACTTATAGATTTCTTTATATTCATTCTATTTAATAAATTTCGTCGTGATGCCAGTACTCAGTATGACAAAACACATAATCCCACAACTACAAGTCACAAATTAATTAATAAATATACATATTATATAGATCTATCCCTCTCGCCCTCCCCCCCCCCGCCTTGATAAAACCACGGTTAAAAGTCTCGTAAAACTCAATTTTCGTTCGGTAGGACACATACTCACATACTAAACGAATACCTGTAGATGACTAATTATCATTTTCTTAATTACAGATTTATACCTCGTCAAGACTTCCAAGTGCGAAACCGATCTGACCAGCCGGGTAAGTAGATACATAGGATGTCGCATACGCCGCCTTGGCGAATATCTCTTTGCAATGGTTGTGCATTGATGTCGAGTTTTTCAAATGTCCCCAGAATGTATCTGCTTGTGAACACACGATGCCACCTTGACGCAGAGCACGTTTCATCAATTCAAAGTAAGACTTTTGGAATAGCGAAACAGCCGGACCTATAAGATTGAAAAAAAACGTGACAACCATCAGTATAAAAGTACCTATACTTTTTGATTAATATAAATGAGTTATGTTAATAATATTCTAATAAGACTTATATTAGTATTACAATCGACGATTTGTATCATACACGATCCTGACGATTTTCAAGGCTAGGGGCAGAGCAACAGTGAGGGGCTTAAAATGTCAATACTGTCAAGTGCCCCTTTAATTGGGCAAGGACCCAAATAGACTTAAAAAATATAGTACCTTGCACCTACGATTATATGAAATTGTAAATAAATTAATAACACATCACATAATTTACTTAAACTTAATTATAACTAGTTAATGATTATATACTGATAAGTTAGAGTAAAACAATATTATATATTAACCCTCCTAAGTTTTAAATCGTTAAATGTGTCAATAATATCGCTGTATTTTAGTTATTCAACAATTCGTTTTTATTAATACCCATTAGGTATAGCTAAGTCGGTATCATTTTCTTGGAACAGAGTGCTTTGAAGATGGTTTTTACTTTTTTTTTTATCAATTTCATTAGTAAAAATTGAATTTTAATAATTTGAAAATTATATTATATATTTTTGTATTTAGTAATTAGAAGAGGTTGTGTAGGTTTAAGGTTATACGATGTAATATATATCATCAAAAAATTACTTTACAGGAAAAACTCTCTCACCTTATTTATAAGTCGAATGTTGATAAATTATTTTTTATTTGAAAGATGAAAACTTTTTTTACATTTGGTCAAAGTACGAATTTTCATTTTACTTCAATAGTACGAGAAAAATAACAAATATTATACATTATTTATATGCATAGCTTAGCTTCTATGATTTTAATTTTGAAAATCGATGTTTGATCCAACCTATAAAATGCTCACATATTTTAAATACTAAACAAAATTAACTGAATTCGACTATTCTAATATTTTTTCCTGTAAGACACGTTTTTATACTAAAAAAACACGCTCATTAAAACAAAACTCATTAACTAGCTAAACATTAAAAAAAAAACTGTTGAAATAACATTTCTTTTTTTGCTCATCAACTTGAAGTTTTATTGTATCTATAATAGGGGAACCTGTCCAACTGTGGTGAGAGTACTGGGCCCCGCGGTATCACATATATAACAACATTTTATGTATTTATATTTCACCTATAAAGTTCTCAAAAATAAGTATAATGAATGTTGTTATCATAATAAATAATTATATACGTAGTACGTACACTCTATAATATCTAATTACAAAAAAAGGCAATATGAACGCTTATGGGAGCGATTTTATTTTTTTAAATGATTAAAAATGGGAATTTAATTTAGTCTATTTATTGAGTCAATAGTTTTTTCAACTCGTCTTAAGAAATATAAACAAAATTAAAAAAGCATGTATTCAACAACATTTTTTTAACAAAATACAATATAATAATGGGCTGGTAAGTTTGCATGCCACTGGTTTTTCGATAGGCTATGGACCAATTGCGCCTAAAACCAAATTTGTATTTTAGGGTCAATATACCAATTGCGCTTGTATTCAAATTTGCCTAATATTTATTGATCAATTGATTTCTACTTACTAGCTAAAGTGACTGGTTTTAATATATTTTATAACAGTATCAGGAATTTTATGAAACATTATTATTATCACGCACATATTTTGATCACCAAAGTATGCATTTGAGCTATGTACGAAAACAAGTTTTCATTATCATCGGCCTAATTGCTTCGTTGCACACAATATACAATATATAGAATAACACGTCGATGTTACCCAATACTTATGTCTTGTTAGTCTCTTGGTATTAGTTCGCGTTGTTTTACGTTACAATATGGATCGTTTTACAAAAGCTCGGAGTGAAAAAAGTAAACCATTATTAGTTCTAGATGAGTTTAAGTTTCGAAAATGTACCATCTCAAAAAACGGAATAAAATGGAGATGTACAATTAAATCTTGTACATCGAATTTTTTAAGTGATCTAAGTGAAACAGTATTTTTAAAATCTAACTTTGATCATAACCACGAAGCAAGTGTCAATATAAATAGACAAATTGTTGCAAATTCGTTAAAAAGAAAAGCAACAGACCAAGTTACAACACGACCGCTAAAATTAATTCGGAATGAAGTGCAATCAAGTGCTCGTTGAAAAACGCTACCACCATTACCGAAAAATGTAACCGAAGTGCATACAGCATTAAATAATTTGGATACAAATACATACAAGGGTGAGAATTTATTGCTTATGAATGACAATATGTTGAATATAATATGTTTTTCTACAAAATCAAATTTAGAATTTTTATGTAGTTGTGACAAAATATTCGTCGATGGAACATTTGAATTTTGTTCTATATTTTTTATCAACTTTTTACGATACATGGTTTGAAAAATGGTCACTATATTCCACTTATATTTTCTTTACTTCCAAACAAGCTGTCAACCACATACGAGTATTTATTTCGAGCTTTGATTAGTAAATGTACAACATTCAATCTCGATTTTAATCTAAAAACAGTCGTTGCTGATTTCGAACAAGCTATTATACATTTTTCATCTAAACGAGCCTAGCCTTTAATACTTCTTGTGGGATGTAGATTTCATTTATCTCAAGCTTGGTGGAGGAATATTCAAAGTTGCGGACTACAAACAGAATACAAAAACCCTAATTCTGAAGTAGGAAAATGGCTGCATTTAATTATTGGTCTGTCGCTTTTTCCACACGAAGAAGTGGAGGATGTGTTTGTAGAAGAAATAATGACGATTCAACAAATTAATTCAAATCTAACCAAATTTACTAATTATATTGTTGAAAACTATATATCATCTAATTCTACATTTCCCCCAATACTATGGGCGTCTAATTCAATAAGTACAACTTATGTATGTGAAGCTTTAAACGCTTCATTTTCTAAAAACTTTTATTCTCCCCATCCAAATATTTTTGTATTTTTAAAAGTAATAATTGAAATTCAGACTAGCACGTATATTGCAATAAATAGTACAGAACATGATAAATATGTTTCAAATAGAGCATATTTCACAAAAAAATTAACAATCAATTCTTATATCGAGAAATACAAATCTGGCGAAATTAGCAGAAAAGAATTTTTTAAAAATTGTGTGTTATTATAATTGTAAAAATTTACGATCAAAATTGTTACTGATTATTAGTGTACCTATTCATTTATTTTTATATTATTTATATTTATAATTACATTTTTTTGAAGTTCTTACTTGTAACCGGTTAGTATATTTATTAATTTATTTGTATTATATATTTTTTTAAATTAGCATGTTATTATTATACCTCGTGGTGACTAAATTAATTATTTTAATATTTAATGTAATTGCCCTGTTATACTTATGATTATATTCTCCTTTCCTCGTAGTGAAAAAATTTATTATTGAACAAATATATTATTCTGTAAACTAAATAAATTATATTATTCTAAATTTTAATGCCATGTTCAAATTATTATTTAAAAAAATATTATTTTTATTAAAGCATGCAAAATACAAACATCATGATTACCTTAAGCTCAAAATTAAACCTTGTAAAACTGTATAATAGGTACATCTCACAATATATTATGCATTAATACTCGCACAAAATTGGTTAATATGTAATAAAAACCAAAAGTATGTACATATATATATTTAATCAAATAACGAGTTTTCCTAAGGTAATGTAAAATGTATAGAGCGCAATTGGTATACGAAAAGGTAATTTTAAGCGCAATTGGTAAACTCCCTTTCGATATACCCATAATAATATAGTACCTAAATATATATATATGTATGTATGTACCTATAGTAAAAATTGCATAATAAATTGAACTATAAAAATGCAAAAGTTGTATAAAACATTCGATAAATGTTACTTTTTCGAATGAAAATTGATAATTAAATACATTTCAAAATTATGCTCATTAAAATTAAATCTTCTATTATTTAAAATAATATGTTTGTACAAAGAAAAACTACATTCACGTATATATTAATTATTGGTACATATTTAGATTTGTCACAAACAGTTAATACATAACCTTCCCATCTGTTGAAAAACGTCCTTATTTTCATTGCACGGAGGAACAATCAAATTTGAAATTTTATTTTTTTTAAATTGATTTTATTTTTAGGCATGCTTTTCAAATAGATATTTAAAAACTAATAGTAAACAGTGAACACGTATACTTTGCAGTAATAACAATATTTCGGCTACATGCCTACTGGTGGGTACGCCAACCGGCTTTTATAGCGAACATTCTAGTAAACTAAAATTATTTATGTCAGATAATATCGACTAAAGTAAAATGATGTATGTAGTAAATGATAATGGCTCTTAATAATGACTTTATGGTACAACCAAAGATTATTTACTCATAACGAAAACTCAATATGTCATAATTGAGTTTTTATGCAATATATTTAGCTGAGTTATATATTTTTTTCATTTAAACACACAAAATTGTAAAAAATTGCATTATAAAATATGCGTAATACATAAAGTAGGTATATAACAAATAAAAATTTGATCAGATTTGGTTAATCTTAATTACAGAAAAAGTTATGACTCGGGGCCGGAATTATATTCTTTTAAAATAGCCAAAATAAGATGCTAATATTCACTTAAAAAGTTGAAAATATTCTTCCAATATTCTTTAAAACTCATAAAAAAATATGCTTTTTATTAATTTATTCTCTTGAACTAAAAATATGCATTTATACGCAAAATAATACAAAGAAATTGGTATAAATAGGTGCATACTAAAAAATAATATGCAAAAATATGCAAAATAATACCAAAACCAGATATAAATAGGCACATAATATTATAATAAAAAGAATTTTGAAAATCAGTAATAATCATAGGCGGTGAAAAATTATCTCTAAGTTGAACTTCATCCATTCAAAACTTTAGTTACGTTTTTCAAAATGATGATCCATCGATTTTTTTGTTGAAGTTGATCAATTTTTATTTTTATTTTATTTCCATTTTCTCCAGGTATTTTTTGAAGTTGACCAATTGTTTTTGAATTAGATTTATCGAATCAACAAAAGACACATTAGACTTTTCTAACCGTTTGTTCGATGTTTCAAGTACAAGAAAATGAGTCTTAATAGATATTATATCGTTTTCTATGGTTTCTAAGTCAAAAGCTGTTTTACATTTAGTGTGGACTGACTGGGAGATTTTTGACTTCTTGCTACTTATTACTTACTTATTCCTTTATTACAGTACATTCAGTAAGTACATTACTAATTAGGCCATAATGATCATACGACATACGATAGTTATATTACGTATATAAATACATAGTATATCAATATCAATAATTTCATATCAGTATATTATCATTTATCACTATTGTCGCCACTGCAACAAAAAATATCGAATATCTATAAAAATTAATCTATATATATTCTCTAATATTCTTTATTACACGAAATATTCTCAAATATGCTAAAAAAACTTTTGCCATTAATTAAGTGGTTTCATGATTTGTGAGATTTCAAACCTCCGTCTGACTGCATAGGCTCAAAAAAAATATACATAAGAATATAATTCCGACCCCTACTAATGAACTTATGTACATTTCAGTTGTGTGTCTATTATTGTTCATATTTTTTCCTAAAGGCACCGGCAGGCCTACTAATTAATAAACAAATGATGATAGTTTAATGTATAGGTACCTATGGGATCAGAAGAATCGGTTATAATGACGTCGTAGTATTGAAAGTGTTCTTCCATGAATTTGAAACCATCAGCTACGTGCAGGTTGACTTTGGGACTGTCGAATCCTTGAGCCATAAACGGTAAATATATCTTCGACAATTCAATTACGCGTTCATCGATTTCCACTTGGTCAATGATTTCGACCAATGGGTGTTTCGCTACTTCCCTAGCAACTCCGCCATCGCCGCCGCCCACGATTAGCACCTGTCGAAGAAAGATAATTGATGTTAGGACAATTGACAAATAGATTGTGGACATTTAAACATAACCAATTTATCTTAAAATTACCAACCCTTTGTGGTTTTGGGTGACTGAAAAGAGGCAGAAAGGAAATCATTTCTTGATAAGAATACTCATCGAATTCCGTACACTGAATCATTCCATCCAATACCAATACGACGCCGTGAGATTTTCTATTAACAAACCAATTGTTTAAATAATATTTAATAATAAGAAACAAAATTGTGGATAGTGACGTTATATTATGTAAAAATTATATATTTATATTATAATCTAGGAACGATATATTATACATATATACCTAATGCTAAAATATATTTCAACAATTTCTCTAATTACCTATTATATTATCTTTAAGGCGAATGTAAGTTCCTACACGAGACCTAGCGGGTAAACAAAATACACATATAAGTTCCTACATCCTACACTACGTATAACTTATAATTTATAAATCTCATATCAGTTATATCATTTGATACTGTTATAATTGTAAAAAAAATATAAGTTATGCACTCTATCCTTATAAATATAAAAAAAACAGGCCTTTTTTTATATAGGTACCAATTTTGTGATGACGCTATTTAACTCTTTTCCAATTTTTGTTCATAGAATTGTTTCAAATACCCTCCTAAGCCCGATTTTAAAGGGTTGAAATCAGTAAAAATAAATTGTTTAAGTACAAATTGTATATCTGTATACATATTTTACAGCACTGCGACCTGTGCGTTTCCATAGCGACAAGCAACCATAACTTTTTGTCCGTCCAACTATGTGTTTGATCGGCGTGTAAATATAAATATTGTTCCTAGAAGTAAAATTCTACAATTTATCTATATCTATCTGGGTATATAAAAATAAATCACTATTTTCCTTAGTCGAGGCATATCGCTTATCGCTCATCATTTAAAACAGATCCATCTATCTTCAATCTTTGATATAAAACAGTTTTTCTTAGGGCTCATTTCACAGTGGAATCAATCGGAAAATTAATGAAAAATTGTATAGTGATTTTTTTGATAACTTTTTTCATCAGGTTAGTTTAAGCAATCGCGCTTAAACTTTTAAACGATCTTAAGTACCCTTGGGCTGCCGTGCTATGTAATATGTGTAAGGATATACAATTTGTATGTTTATTTTAATTATCAATTAATTTTCCGCTCAACTTTCTTAATTTTTTAGTAAAACTCAACCTCTGATCGGGCAGATCAGGTTTAAGAATGCATCAAATTGAATTTTAGTACATTGCTTATCAAAGTGGTTGTCGTCTGAGTTACACTTACAGCCGCTCATCGGCATGTACACAATCAAAATAATAACTAATATTAGTTATAATCATAATAACTGTACAAATTATAATTATAACTATAGAGTCATTTTTTAACATGTGTGTAGAATCATTAGAATCATTTGTAAATATCATAAACATATTTTTTTTTTTGAAAGGATTTTTCAAAATTAGACCTCTAAGGGGGTTTTTTTATACAGCTATATAATACACAGGCAACGCCGTGATGGGACAGCTAGTAGGTATAATAAATAATTTATAAGCTATCTATCTAATTAAATGTAATAATTTTAAAAGTAATAATTCATAATTATAAAAAAAAATATAAGTACTGCTTTCTATGTACCTAATGTATAATTTATATTAGTAATTTAAATTAAATAAAACAATAAAAAAAAATATTATATTTTATGAGGTTGATTTCCGATGCTTAAATGTTTAACATAATATCATACCTATTGATTAATTTTTTTTTTTGATTACTATTATTTTTTGATCTATAAAATTTTCTCTTTTAGCATAATTTTTACTAGTTTTAATTGTGTTGTTACTATCAGTAGTTCTTATTCTTATGTATGTATTAATTTGAAATAATTCGAGAATTTTGATAATTTTAAAAATATGTGGATGTTAATTTGAAAATTTGAATTAAAATCTGAATGAAAACTTCCACACGCGTTTGTCGTGTGTATTCTATCAGCAAATTATTTCGCCCATACTTTTGGTGGAAAAATACTATTATTTGTAATGTAAACCAACTGTACACACTTTTGCCTTACACTTATTTATAGCAAATCACCATGGTATTTTCATTTTTTTTGGATGTATGATGTTTAAAAAATTAAAAACTAATAGGTCTTTGCCCTTTTCACTGAGTATAAAGGATACGTGATTTTCACTAGTCATCGTAACTTCGTAACGTAGAAGTACAGACACACCACACACGAATTTTTCGAACAGTACTGCCATAATTATTATTATTCAATGTGACAATATTCATTATTCTGTGAGGTTTTTTGCACAATTTTTATCAGTAAAATTACTGTTTTGTCGTAAATATTTTGTTTATCGAAAATTCGAATTTTAAGTTGCTTTTTCAACTGTATCGGTAAGGTGTCGTTATTCGTTATAATCTATCATAGATCCTATTATTTTATAGGCACCATGTATAGAGATTGAAACGAGTGCGATTGTATTATTTCATCACTTACTCTATATTATTATGTTCTTCTAAATGATATTATTTTCATATCATCAGTTTGATAACTTACAGTTATAATATTATATAACATGTAGTAAATATTTTTTACATATATTCCTGTTTTTCACCTTGTAAGAACTTACAACGATACATTTTTACCGTGTAAGAACTTACACAGCACATATGTAAGAATATGTTAATAATATTCTATAAATAAAAGTACTTAAAAACGATGATTTTCCAGTTGGGACTTGCCTGGCCCACTTGTATAAGGGAAAGTTCTCGGTGTCCTGGCCCCTGGCCTATTGAGACTTGTCAGTTGCCATTGTCCTGACAGCAGTATTAATTTATTTTGGTAAATAGTTAGTATTTATTAGTAGGTAATTATTTTTACAAATCCTCGTAGTACAATAAGTTATTACTTTTTACAAAAGACCGGATTTATATGCATTTTAAAATATGGCATTAATAAGTTTCCAACATGCACTTCATAAGCTCAAAACATGCAAAATAATTTTTGATTATTACAGCTGTTTATTTATTGTAAAGTTATAAAAGCAAAACATCAATGATGAAAAATAAATAAATTACAATATTATGTATACAATATATTTTATGATTGTAATGGAAAATATACAATTCATTCGCTATCAATTGGAGAAACAATAAGTAACAATAATATAATGTTCCATTTTGATCTCAAATAAATTATGACGACTGTTAATAACAATATTTATGTATGAAGGAAACTTTGTTCCACGTCAACGCTTGTTATGGGTTCATATTGTATTTAAACTCATACAATTTGTTATAAGTTAAATAAGTTAAATCGTAATTATATTTGATTTAGTTAAAATTTGTTTACAGATTTTAATACTTATGACATATCTTCTTGAAGGTTTTGAATAACGTTTTTAAAATATATGAAATATCTGCATAAAATGTAGTATTGACGATAAGTCGATAATGTTCGACGAAGTTTATAGGACAAAATTATACGATAGAAAAACCAGTACGTGGAAACGAATATTATATTTTTAAAAATATTTTCAAGTTTGGTGTTGTGGAACAAATTTATATCAAAAAATTATCAATAAAAAAACTGTATTGATGTTCCTACCAGTAATAATAGGTTGATTCACTCTAATTTTTAAACTAACAAAGATAAACGTGAACTGCTGTGAGTACATTTTTTCATGTTGCCCACTTGTAAGTTGTAAGCATTACTTACATAATATTATATTCATTTCATTTTCAATAAAAAAATTCCTGAAATACTCTGCAGATAATAAAATGATCAATTAAAAAAATGATTCTAAATAGGTTATAATCAGGCCTGTGAATTTAATGCACTTGAAACCTATTAAATATGCACTAAAATCTGACAAAATATGCTCTAAAAATTCTTAAAATATGCAAAAAAAACTAAATAATTAAATTTTTATTTTTATTTTGTCACTTGTCTTGATGCGTCGATTGCGTCCTTATCTATATGTGTATATTTTGTAATTTGTTGTTAATAAATGAAAGTTTTGTTTGCAAAATGTTTTTTTTTTGGTCGCCAAAAGCTAAATTTGAGATGTTAGAGTTACGCTCATAAAAGGCAAGGAACCGCTGTCTAAGGGCTTAAATTATGAATTGTTATAAAAGCTTTAGCATAGTATTGCATTAATAAATTTATAATTCAAATAATCTTTTAAAAATTCAAAGCCTCATGAATATATTTCCCTGGCCTGAGTTTTTCATCCACTCCGTCCCTTTTTTCCAGTACCTACTTTGATAGTAGGTATATTTACATAATATTATGACTAATTTTTGAATTAGTTATAGGTACTTATTCAATAATTGTGTTAAAAATGTAAATAATTATATAAGTACTTTGTACCTTCATAGCTATATAATATATATTATTATTTATTGTAATATTATTGATTATACGTTTATAACTTATAGCGTTTGTATATTACAGTATTACACCTCAACACCTGCATGTGTAGTCTCCAACTTAAAAATAGATGATACAAACATTTATGTATGATTGGTTTTTATGATATTTCAGTTTTTAAGTAAGTTATGGGTGTGTAAAATATTAATATTTAAAAATGATTACAACTTGCTTAGAATTAAAATAATGTAAAAAACCAATGAGAGAACACAGATAATGACCTAACATATCATTGATAAAAACGATTACGAAAAATTAAATCTAATATCGAAGCTAACCAGTAAAAATCACATATCGCACTGATGAATGCAAAATTTACGTTGAAATGGCCATCTGCATGATGGATGCAACAAATTATAACTTATAAGTTAAAACCAATTACGTTAATAGTACATAATATATAGCTAAATAGGTACAAAGTACAAGGTACAATGTATGTACAATGTACTGATATAATTATTTAGGTGCATTTCAAACATAATTATCGACTGCCTATGTACCGACTAATAGGTTATTCAAAACGATATAGTTACAATGTACAAGGTACAGCAATAATTATTTACATTTCAAACTCAATGATCGATTTTGAATATTTAAAAATTAATTTATAAAATGTCGAACCTAGTATGTAAATATATTGCCTACTTTACTACTAGAAAATCATATTTTTCTTAATTGAAGGGTAACTTTTCAAAACGTGTTATTTCCAAAATTGTGGAAAATTGAGATATACATTGATTATTATTG